AAGAAGACTGTAGGGAAAAAGCCAGTGAGTGATGGATGAAAAGCACGAGAATGTAGTATCTCACTGGACAAGCAAACAAACAAACAATCTGAGTGCAAAGGAAGAAGGCTAGATTTGTCAGTTTAGTCAACACTAATTTAAGTTTCATCAGTGTCAGCAAACCTCATTACCCCCTCATCTATCTTTTTTTAAGATTTATTTATTTATTTGATTTATTTATTTATTTATCTGATTGACACACAGAGAGAAGGAGAGGGAGGGAGGCAGGGAGGGAGGGAGAAAGAGAGAGAGAGAGGTCTTCAATCCACTGGTTCACTCCCCAATTGGTCGCAATGGCCGGAGCTGTGCTAACTTGTAGCCAGGAGTTTCTTCTAGGTCTCCTACGTGGTTGCAGAGACCCAAGGACTTGGGCCATCTTCTACTGCTTTCCCAGGCCATAGCAGAGAGCTGGATTGGAAGTGGAGCAGCTGGGCCGCAAACTGGCACCTATATGGGATGCTGGCACTGCATGCAGAGGCTTTACCCACTACAACACAGTGCCAGCCCCCCTCATCTATCTTTGATTATATGCTTCATTGTTCTCTAAGCTCACCATTCCCTCCTAGCCTTTTGGATGATAACAACCAGGGATTCTGAGAACTGGAGTCTTACATTAGAGTTCTTTTTTTTCTTTTGTTAAAGAAATTTCAGAGTTTAAAATTTATCTTTTTCCAACATTGACTTTTATCTGTGGGAATTGTTCATATTTATTTAACTAAATCTGACAATTTTTAATTTAGTGCTTAAAAATCTATCAATTTATAATCTTCCTTTTTCTAATTATTTGCTTTTCTAAATTGGATTTCAAAACTATAATTCATAAATTCATAATTCGGTATCACAAATTAAATATTTCATGAATTTTAAACTCCTATACTTTAAATGTAAAAAAAGTATGATTACTAGGTATGTAGATTTAAAGTAAATGCACCTTTTGTTTAGGGGTATGGAAGTTATTCAACCATTCAAAGAAATAGTAGATTCATCTCTTTCTTAAAAAAAGAAAAACATCATATTTGTTACTTTGATTTATTAAGCCCTGTGGCAGACAGAAAGAAATGATCTTCCAAAAATACATGTATTTAATTCCTAATTCTCAGAACCTGTAACTGTTTTGTGTTAAAGAGTGAATATTACCTTATGTGACAAATGATGTAACTAAGTTAAGGATCTTGAAAAGAAAGAATATATTGTGAGTTATCTAAATAAGCCTTAAATGGCCTAAATAGGGCTAGCCAGGTTTGAATCCACAAGTATTCTTGTAAAAGAGAACCACACAGAAGTTCGACATGAGGATATGGAGAGGAATGTAAAGGCAAAGACTTGAGTGATGCAGCCCCATGTCAAGCAATGACAACAGAAATGGGAAGAGAGAAGGGGCAGAATCTAGCCATGAGCCTCTGGAGGGAGTGTGACCTACTGACCCTTTGGTATTTGGACTTCTGGCCTCCAGATCTGTGAGAGGGTGAGGATCTATTGTCTTCAGCCACCAGATCTGTGGCTTGGTAACTTCTTACGGTGACCACAGGGAAGTAATGCAGATTTGGGTTTCAGGAAGTGGAATGCTGTTAAGAAATTCCTCAGTATATGGAAGCATTACCCAAGGGGTTAGATAACGAGTAGAGGCTGGGAAGATTTTGAGAAGCATGATGGAGGAAGCCTCCGTTACCTTGAAGAGATTGTTGGTGGATTCCATCATCTTTGAGAATACATATGTTTTCTTGAACAGAATATTGGTCAGAATAAAAGCCTTACAAGTGCTGCTTGAGAGGACTCAGAGGAAAATGCAGAGCACATTGTTAGGAGGAGAGGTACTATGGTATGGTGATATGGAGGAGAGGTAACGTGTTGTATAGTCATAGCAAACTTGGCTGTCTTGTGTTGGGTCATGTGAAAATCAGCAGAATTTGTGAGTGAGGAAATTGGATACTGTCAAGGAACGTGTTGAAGGTACAGCCTGCTATCTGTTTTCTGTCATAATAAATGTGAGAAGAAATAGATAAATTGAGGAAAGAACTGCTAAGCAGAATTTGGGGGAATTTATTATGGCAGCATAGGAAATTAATACAGCCCATGTGTGTAGTGAGGAATATATCATTTTTCAGAAACGTTAAGGCATGGATTTTCGTGTAGAATAAAATGAGTTTAGGCAGCTGCTACTAAACCATAATACCCGATCAAAACATGCTATTTTGATTGTACTTCACTTGGAAATTCAGGACATACTTCTATCAGCCTTTAATTTGTTTGCTTAACATTATCACTAGTAATAAGGGAAATAAATTAACTTGGTCTTAGAGTTCATATTTCCAGACTGGCCTATAAATTTGAGTCATTTGTTTGTTTTGTTTGCTCGTTTTTGAAGCTTCAGATTCTCAGGACCTCTGCAAACTCTGAATGTGATATTCTTGGGCTGAGGATCAGATATGTATATTTTTCAGGCTTTATAGGTTATTATGATAACCAACCATTTTAGGGAACTATTGAAATCACAGATTATACCTGATTTGTGGCCCATTTCCTAAGTAGTTCCCAAGCGTCATACATACACCAGGTGGGTCTTCTATAACATTTGTATGCAGTCTTATAACAAGTAATCTCTGTGTTTTTTAGTTGATCAATTGAGGTTCAAAGAAGTTCTACAACTTCTCCAAATCAGTAATTAGGGGAATTGACATTTAAAAACCTGTGTATTTGATTCTAAAATCCATTATCTTAGTGTAGTAGGGTAAAAACTATACTTGTTCACATTCCCACATAAATCCTCTGTAGGTGAATAGTGTTGCGTGAGTTATTTAACTTCTCAAGATTCAATTTGCTCCATTTGAAGAAGTGTATAATATCTTTCAAGAAGTTGCTATGAATATTAAAATAAATTATCTACATAATAATGTCACCAACTGTAAATAAAGTTGCATGCAGATATGGACTGGATGGTTTGTCTATGGCTTTTACTTATATATCTATATGTGTGTGTGTGTGTCTTATCTACGGAATAAGTAAAATGAACCCATGTTACTTGTCTCTCAGAAAATGCCACATCTTCTGCCAGCCTCTTTAATTCTCGTGGACTTGAAACTTCCTGAATGATTACTTCTGGAGCCAGATGGGACCAGAGCTTAGTCTCAGCTCTGGCATTTACTGACAGTATAATCATGGACTGGTTCTCCATGATTTCCATCATTCATCTATAAAGAGGGAAAGAGATGCTATTGGTTTGAGGTTTAAATTGAAATAATGTAGAGTGCTTATGATGCTTATTTATGATCATTGTCATCATTAACTATCACATTACTAAAAGTAGCTTTGTTAGCAGGATAGCAATTGTTATTTTTGATGTTCCACTGGGCACCACCCTGTGAATAGCAACATGGGTAGGAGATGAAGGAATGCCTATGGTGAGAAAGTGTGAACAGAAGGGCATGGGCAAAAATCAAGACCCACTTAACCTTGTTCTCTTTTCTGCCAAGGAAATGATTCCCAACACGTCTACTCTCCAGCAGAGCCTCAGCAAGAAACCCCAGATAAGAAAGCTGAAGGGAATTTATTTATTGGCACATATACTTATATTGTCCAGCAAATACACTCACACACAGGGTGGGAAAAAGAATATATCCTTTGATGCTTGGCAGATGGCAAATGGGAAGGACAGTCATAAAGTACTTGGCAACAATAAATATCTCAGAGGGCTCTCCTCTGGTATGTAATGTAGTACCAATAACAAAGACTATCACTTAGTGAATTCCTGGGCCAGGGATTATGCTAGACATTGTATGTGTTTTTCACTCAGTGGCAAAGATACACTCTTTTCAAATTTCCTAATTGTTTCTGGGATGTTTTGCAGTTAAGTTTCACACACTGCGTTTGATTAATTGTGGGGTGATGTTTTGATCCATGGAATATCCTGTTCCCTCACAACAATTTTAACCCATGAGTTAGCATCCATATTGAATAAAAGCCATAACCACATTGTGCAAATAGGTAAACTGAGACACAGGGAGAGTAAGAAAGTGTCAATGGTTGAAGTATTTGTAGGATTCAAAACAGACTCTAACCACCTGCCAAGCACACATCCTTTCTACTGCAGCTTGGTGCTTCCCCAGGGAGTCTTGAAGTTCTAGTTCTAACAACTACTGTCGCTGGTTAATCTTCTGCTCTTTTGTTTTGCATTTCCTTCTCCTCAAGAAAAAGTACCTGATTTCACAATGAAATCATCATTGACATATACATGTATCAAAAAGTGATAGAGGAAACAGCGACTGTGTGCATGCACACAGTCACACTCTGAGACTTCAGAAGCCGCCTTGTGGATCTCATTAGCACATCTTTGTGCTCTGCTTATATCCTGGCCCAGGTGTGCAGAACAGCTCGTTCACAACAACCTCCCAACCACCAGTGTCATCATGTGCTTTGTGGATGAGGTGTGGTCCACTCTCCTGAGATCTGTGCATAGTGTCCTCAACCGTTCTCCTCCACATCTCATCAAGGAAATTCTCCTGGTGGATGACTGCAGCACCAAAGGTAGGAAAATCACACAAGCTCTCTCCTTAAAAGTCAAAGTTTAGTGTGAAGCAATACCAAATTGGGGGCCAATGCTGTGGAGTAGGAGGTAAAGCCACCACCTGCAGTGCCGGCATCTCATATGGGTGCTGGTTCCAGTCCCGGCTACTCCACTTCCAATCCAGCTCTCTACTATGGACTGGGAAATCAGCAGAGGATGGTCCAAGTCCTTGGGCCCCTGCACCCATGTAGGAGGCCTGGAAGAAGCTCCTCACTTCTGGCTTTGGATCCACTCAGCTCCAACCGCTGTGGCCATTTGGGGATGGGAAGACCTCTTTCTCTCTCTGCCTCTCTGTAGCTCTGCCTTTCTTTGTTTTTGTTTTTACATTTTAAGCTTTTATTTAGTGCGAAAGATGCATAGGAGAGTGAGAGCTTTATTTAAGAGAGAGGTAAATCTGGGTTCATACCCAGCACCAGGAACTAGTCACGTGGAGGAGCATCTAGGCCAGGAAGTCTAGGGCGGGTGGCCCAAAGCCCACATGCCCTGGAGGTGCAAGTCTATAGTCAGCCCCTCCTAGCAAGAGGCCAGGGAAAAGAAGAAGAGAGCAGACACACCGTGTCCCAGGCTTTTAACCCACTTCCAAAGAGGACTGGTTAACTAACCTGATTGGCCAGTGGGCACTTAGGAGTGGCCAGGTAGGGGCATGAGGTCACACAGGGGCATGGCAAAGGCATGGTCTTCCAGCTCACAAACCTAATCAATTTTAACCTGTATGCCTGCCTACTTCATTCCCCCCTCAGAGACTCCATCACCTGAATCCTAAGGGGAGTTGATGGACGTCGAATCATCTTTTTTATAACTGCTTCCTGCTTATGAGGGGCGTAGTACAGGCCCTGCCTATGCAGGGTCTGGAGTCTCTGCCTATCCTATCTAACGAATTTGTTTTGCAAGCTGGAGCAGTCTCAGTCATTGTCAATGTCTGTGACCCCTGCATGGTCAGTTACTCCCAGAAGTCGAGTTCTGAAACATATAAGTTGTTAATTAGTATAAGTAAAACTGGAACAAAATCAATTATAAGTGGGGTGCCCCATAACATGAAAAGAACTTATCTTACAGATTCCCAGATAGTGGGTAGTGATAGGCTACCCTTATGTCAATTATAAGCCCATTTATCTTGAGTATAGAGAATTATAATACAAGAGTCCATTAGGTAGCTTTATCATTAATAATAGCTTTTAGAGATAATCAAGGAAGGCAGGTACAGTATGTTTGCATTAAGGAGACAAAAACAAAAGTGTTACTTATCCTTTTTGCTTTGAAGTACTTAAGGTTTCTGATTCGCTTATAGAAATAGTCAGGCATGTCTTTCGCATTCACCTGTGAAGACTTTTTTTTTTAAAGATTTATTTATTTATTTGAAACTCAGTTACACAGAGAGAGGAGAGGCAGAGAGAGAGAGGTCTTCCATCCGATTGTTCACTCCCCAACTGGCCTCAAAGGCCAGAGCTGCCCCGATCCGAAGCCAGGAGCCAGGAGCTTCCTCTGGGTCTCCCATGCAGGTGCAGGGGTCCAATGACTTGGGCCATCTTCCATTGCTTTCCCAGGCCATAGCAGAGAGCTGGATCAGAAGAAGAGCAGCCGGGACTAGAACCGACGCCCACCTGGGATGCTTGTGCTTCAGGCCAGGGTGTTAACCCGCTTAGCCACAGCGCCGGCCCCGATCACCTGTGCAGACTTAAGAGGTAGAAGTTTAATCCTAATTTCAAGGAGGTAGTCAGCCTCAATAGCACCTGGTAAGGTCCCTTTCAGTTAAGCTAAAACTGATCTGAAGAGGATCATCTTATGAATGGCTTGTTCAGGAATTTCTAATGTTGAAATTTTTGTTAAAAACTCCTTGATTCCTTGGAACACCTTTTGTAGCTCCCCTGTCCAGCACAGTGTTTCTGTTTCAGGGGCTTTTAAGCAAACACAAGGCTTAGAATCCAAATCCTGGAATCCGTAACAACTTTTGTAGTTACCCTTTTCAGTACAGAGTCTGCATCAGGGCGTCTTTAAAGCTACATAGGAAAGTTTGGAATCCAAATCTTAGAATCCAAATTCCATAGAATCCTGTCATCAGCAATTCCCAATACCGGAGCTTTGGTTAGAAGCTCCTTAGTTCTCTGGAACAGCTTTTTCAGCTACCCTTTTCAGTGTGGAGACTGCATCAGGGTGTCTTCAAAGCTATGTACAAAAGCTTAGAAGCCAAATCTTGGAATTCAAATTCCATAGAATCCGGTCATCAGCAATTCCCAATACCAGAACTTTAGTTATAAGCCCCTTAATTCTCTGGAACAACTTTTGCAGCTACCCTCTTCAGTATGGAGTCTGCATCAGGGCATCTTTAAAGCTATATACAAAAGCTCAGAATCCAAATCTTGGAATCCAAAGTCCACATAATTTTTCCATTCTCAGATATCTCATCAGCAGCCTTTAAATATCTGACCCTATGGTAAAACATATGAGATAGGAATTTTACAGAGAGACTTGTATTCAAGATTTTACATTTGAGGCACGTACTAAACCTTAAATAAATACCTAAAAACACAGGCAATGTAGTTTGACACTTATACATAACTAGAACTTATGATACATAATATCACACAATAGAACAAGGTAAATCTTTGGGATTAAGTTTTACCATTAACGTTAATACTGTAGCTCTTTGAAAACAGAGGTCCTGCATGGGAAGTTAGTACACAGTGACTCTTGTTAATTTAACAATTAACACTCTTATGTGTGACATCAGTTATCACCGGAGGCACTTGACATGAGCTGCCTAGGCTAGGGAAGCCTTTTGAATTCCACAAACTCCATCAGTATTTAGACAAGGCCATACACAAAGTGGAAGTTCCCTCCTCCCTTCGGAGAAAAGTACATCCTTATTTGATGGCCACTCTTTTCCACTGGGGTCTCACCCAGGGAAGTTTTCCATGTAGGGACACTTTTTCCACAAGTCTCCTGGCTTTCCACACCTGAAATGCTCTTGTGAGCTTTTTAGCCAGACCAAAATGCCTTTAGGGCTGCCTAGCTTTAAAATTTATTAAAAATTAAAAATTTCACTTGTCATAAGTCCCTCTTTAAAAATTTTACATGTTAGAAGTCCCTTCATGATTGCCGTATGATATCTGAAATGACCTCCTAAAATCTGTATGAAAATGTGGCCCCGTAAAGTTCCCCAGAAGTCCCATCTGGGGTGCCACATATGCTATGGAAATTTGGGGTGCCATACAATATCGCCATGTGCTTATTAATAAATACCCAATATTAATAAGCCCGAGAGGGTTCTTGCCTAATATTTAGAGAAGAATTCTAAATACCAGCATAAATAAATGAGGTAGCATGGTACATTTTAAGCTTTTATTTAGTGCGAAGATGCATAGGAATGCGAGAGCTTTATTTAAGAAAGAGAGGTAAATCTGGGTTCATACCGAGCACCAGGAACCAGCCACGTGGAGGAACATCTAGGCCAGGAAGCCTAGGGCAGGTGGCCTGAAGGACGCGCAGGGCTGCAGCAACCCCCTCCTGGCAAGAGGCTCAGGAAAAGAGGAAGAGAGCTCTGCCTTTCAAACAAATAAATAAATCTTAAAAACATATACCAAATTGGTGGTAGAGTTACAGTGTAGTTTTATGAGGTGCAAATATTTTACAAATGCTAAATCATTATTTCCTGTGGAGATACGGAGGTATAAGTCTCCTGAGACTTATGGAATATTTTTCAAATATTTTAATAATTTGAGAGGTAGTTATAGAGAGAAGAAGAGACAGAGAGAAAGGTCCTCTATCCACTGGTTCACTCCCAAGTGGCCACAACAGCCAGAGCTGAGTTGATCCGAAGCCAGGAGCTGGAGGCTTCTTCTGGGACTCCCATGTGGATGCAGGGGCCCAATGATTTGGGCCATCTTCTGCAACTCTCCTAGGCCATAGCAGACAGCTGGATCGGAAGAGGAGCAGCTGGGACTCGAACCAGTGCCCATATGGGAATACTGGCGCTACAGGCAGAGGCTTAACCTGTGGTGCCACAGAGCCAGCCCTGAGACTTATGGAATATTTAAAATAACCTGGGGCTCTGTAAACTACCTGTCTCAGGCTTCCCTGGAGCTGTGACCCTCCTGTCTTGTAGGAGTCATTGGCTAACTACACCTATTTGGAAATGGACACTATAAACATCAGAATCCAGAAGATGTTCTGTACAACCACCCAAATGTTTTTATGTGGAACTGAATCTGCAATTGCCCCACAACAAATGGGATGACTTTCCTCTGGTAATAACTACAGTTTGGTTTAAACTTCATGGAAAGCAAAGAAAGGGAAGTCCTACAGCTTCTTCCTCAAAAGCAAGACATATTATGTGTTCAGTCAAGTGTTGGGCAGACAAATTGCCCATCCAAACCAGAAAGATGTGGCTCTAACTACGTTCAAAGGCAGCATTGGCCATGTTCTTTAAGTATATTTTTATTACAGGAAAGGATCTCACTGTTTGAGTTGTCAGAAAGCTTGTTTACTAGATTGGCTCAAGTGCCATGACTGATACATTATAGATTCCCCAAATGCAGCCCATTTCAGAAACTTTTAGAAAATAGTAAAGTGATGACAATGTTAAAGGAAGAATTAAGCCTTCATTTGTGACACATGATATAAGCAGTTTCTTTAGCCCAAGAGATTCTACCATAACCACAATGAGCTTGAAAAGTAGGGAGATGGCAGAGGAAAACTGGTTGAAAACTTTAAATGGCCCTGAAAGCATCAACAGACATAATAGACATTTACTAAGCAGATAAAAGTCTTTTAATGAGGGGGCAGAGCCAGATTTTGTAGGACCTGAGCTTATACACTTTTCAGAGTCCTCTCTAAGAAAAATAGCATGACATTAGTAGGAAAGTGAGCTGCAAAAGTCTTTCTGGAATTCATTCTTACTTGGAGCAGCTGTCAGTAGCTGCATTAAAGTACAAAAAAGTGACTATGAGCCACTCAACACACCTCATAAAGCACTGGAAAACCTCCCTTTGACTGGATCACGCTCTGGCCATTCAGAAAGAGAGGAAAGGTGTGGCGGAGAGGATATCAGAGTAGGACACAACAGCGATCTCAACCAGCTATGGTTGCACCAGCTTTTATTATTTTATTTTACAAATTTTACATTTTGCAAACATTGCTTAACCTCTTTCCTGGATCTTGGAAGGGACTTTTGCAGACGGGCAGAGGAAGGAGTTGTACAGAAGCCTCAGCTTCATTTATTTCAAGGTAAATCTACCGTGTCTTGATAAATATGCGGAAAAGGTGAGCCCTCTGCTGTGTTATTTTGCAACACTAAAAAGAAAGACTTGGAGTTTGAGAAATCCAACAGCTGGGAATATTAAGCTGAGACAAAACCCTTCCAAGAAAATGACGTCAGGAAATAAAATTGTGGTGCAAGGAATAAAATTTATGAACATATTAATAACATAGTTTTTGGAATTTGACATTGTAATGGCACTTTTCTAGTCTATCCAGACACAGTTAATGAAAGTGTTTTCTTGTTTATCCTTCTTCTGATACAGACTACCTAAAAGATAATTTGGATAAATACATGTCACAGTTTCCAAAGGTTCGGATTCTTCGCCTCAAAGAGAGACATGGCTTAATAAGAGCCAGGTTGGCAGGGGCACAAAATGCAACAGGTAACAAGCAATTCGTTCTTTGTTTTGGTTACATTTTTGTTTTAACTTAAAATGCTTTTCAAACATAGAGCAAATTTGAAAAAGTAGAAAGTAGTACAGCGAACTAGTACTAGTGGAGTAGAGTATCCGTTAACTAACTGCACTGTTTTTAACCTTTTGCCATATGTGTTTCATCACACAAATTCGTAGACACCTGTTTATATGCACACATACCCCCGCCCCCAAGCATAATAAGGGAATTTACAGATTTCATGACCCAGTAGGCTAAGTACTGCAGTAGACATCTCTAAATAATGGGGATATTCCCTTAAATAAGCACAGTTTTCATACCTAAATATCACAATGAGACACTCTTCAAATTTCCTAATTGCTCCCCAAATGTTGTTTTAATTAAGTTTCACACACTGCATTTGATTAATTTTCATCCATGGTATATCCTGTTTTCTCACAACATTTTTATCCCATGAAAATTTTAACCATTAATGATCCTTGCTTGAATTAAGCCAGCACTGTAAAATCGTTTTTCTATCATTCTTTCTTCTCTCTTTTTGATTGACATTCATTCATACTACTCTATTTGCTTTCTCTACTAACTCATTTAATCTTCATAAAAACTCTATAAGTAAAAGCATTTCCCTGTTTTATAGATGAGATCCTAGAGACACAGAGAAGTTATGAGTTTTTTAAGTTGTTGCAGCTAGTTTAATGCTAAAGATACCGTGGTGGCCACGCACACTGCTGCCAGAGTCTATACTCTCATCTGCTTCCCTTTGCTGCCTCTAGGTGTTCAACCACCCTTCTACCCTGTAGGCCCCAGCATCGCAGACTTCTATCATCTTGAACTCAAACATGTTCTGATGGGGAACTGCTAACTTGAGTTTAACTTCCATCTAACTTGACCTCAGATTTGGAGACCTTATCTCATTGGTTTGCTAATGAATTTCTTCTCTTTGTAATGGAAATTTTAAGTGATCAATAAATACATCACACCAAAGTTGGAATTGCAGTGACATCTAAATTTCTTAGTCAAAAAGTATATTCAGAAAAATAAATTTCCACAGGAACCATTTATTAAGGTATAAAATCTTCAAGTGTTCCATAAATACAACTTTAGGAACACAGTGATAGTGATTCTTCCTATGGTACCCACTCTCCCACCCTCACTCCTACCCTTCTTCCTCCTCCCTCTCCTATTCTCATTTTTTTTTAAGATCTATTTTCAATTAAATTTATACACAGAAGATTAAACTAAGGGTTCAATGAACAGTATTTAAAAAAAAAAAAACTATTCCTCAACAGTTTTTGATTTCTCCTTTGATTTCTTCTATGACCCACTATTCATTCAGGAGTATGTTGTTCAGCTCCATGTATTTGCATATTTTCTAGAGATTCTTGAGTTGTTGATTTCCAGCTTCATTCCATTATTTTCCTTTTAATTTTTGATATAATATACTTTGTTCTTTGAGAACAAGTTTTATTATTAATTGAAGAAGCACCTAAGGAAACCAAACAATGGAGTTGGACACTTGTTATCTTAACAATTAATACTCTTATGTAGGACATCAGTGATCATCTGAGGCTCTTGACATGAACTGCCTAGGCTATGGAAGCCTTTGGAATCCAGAAACTCAGTCAGTATTTAGACAAGGCTATAAGCAAAGTAGAAATTCTCTCCTCCCTTCAGAGAAAAGTATATCCTTCTTTGATGACCATTTCTTACTACTGGGATCTCACCCATAGAGATCCTTCATGTAGGACACTTTTGCCACAGTGTCTTGACTTTCCTTGCCTGAAATGCTCTTGTGGGCTTTTCAGCCAGACCAGAACACCTTAAGGGCTGATTCTGAAGTCAGAGTGCTACTGAGGTCAGAGTGCTACTTCAAGCAATTGTCTTTCTGAGTCTGCTGTATACTCTGCTTCCCATGTTGGAGCATTCACACCTTTTTAATTCTATCTATTATTATTACCAAACAACCCTATTTGTATGATTACTTTAACACTTAATCCTATCCCTATGATCACTTTAACACTTAAAATGCTTTTTTTACCACCCGGTTTATGGGGATTTGAGATCCCATGGCAAGTTTTTAAATTGTACCCTTAGAAGTAAGTCCTTAGGAATGTATGCACAACAATACAGCTTTACAATTACAAGCTTCATACATTTCATAATTACAACTTTAGTAATATGGTGATTCTTCCCACTGTGCCAATCCATACTCCCCATCCATACTCTCCCATCCATCCATACTCCCAGCCCCTTTCTCCTCCCTCTCTTATTCCCACTCTTATTTTTTACTAAGATCTATTTTTAATTAACTTTCTACACATATGATTAACTCTATGTTAAATAAAGAGTTCAACAAATAGTATGAAAAAAAAAAAAACATGTTCCTCAATAGTCAAGACAAGGGCTGTTCAAATACGTTGCTTCTCAAAGTGTCAATTTCACTTCTACAGATTGCCTTTTAGGTGCTCTATTAGTTACCATAGTTCAGGTGGAACATATGGTATTTGTCCCTTTGGGACTGGCTTATTTCACTAAGTATGATGTTTTCAAGTTTCATCCATTTTATTGCAAATGAACAGATTTCAATTTATTTTATTGTTGTGTAGTATTCCATGGTATATATATCCCATAATTTATTTATCCGTTCTTCAGTTGATGGGCATTTGGGTTGATTCCATGTCTTAGCTATTGTGAATTGAGCTGCAATCAACTTGGAGTACAGAAACTCTCACATATTCTTATTTCATTTCCCTTGGGTAAATTCCCAGGAGTGGGTCTATATTCAGATTTCTGAGGAATCTCCATACTGTCCTCCATAATGGCTTTACCAGTTTACATTCCCACCAATAGTGGATTAATGTATCTTTTCTCCCACATCCTTCCCAGCATTTGTTGTTTGTTGATTTCTGTATGAAAGCCATTCTAATGGGAGTGAGGTGAAATCTCTATGTGATTTTGATTTGCATTTCCCTGATGGTAGTGATCTTGAGCATTTTTTCATGTCTCTGCTGGCCATTTAGATTTCCTCTTTTGAAAAATGTCTGTTTAAATCTTTTGCCTTTCTTAACTGGATTTCTTGTTCTGTTGTTGTGTTTCTTCATTTCTTTATATATTCTGATTATTAATCCTTTATCAGTTGTATAGTTTGCAAATAATTTCTCCCATTCTGTCAGTTGCCTCTTAACTTTGCTGTGTGTTTCTTTTGCAGTACAGAAGCTTCTGAATTTGATGTGATCCCATTTGTCAATTTTGGCTTTGATTGCCTGTGCCTCTGGGGTTTTTTCCAAGAACGCTTAGCCTGTGCCATAATCTTGCAGGGTTTCCTCAATGTTCTCTAATAATTTGATGGTATTGGGTCATAGATTTAGGTATTTAATTCATGTTGAGTTTTCATAATGAAAGACTATTGTATTTTATGATATTCTTTCTCTGCATCTACCGAGATAATCACATGGTTTTTGTTCTTCAGTTTGTTAATGTGATGTGTCATGTTTATTGAAATGCAAATGTGTAACCATCCTTGCCTGCATACCAGGGATAAATCTCACTTGATCTGGGTGAATGATCTTTTTGCTGTGTTCTTATATTCAATTAGCTAATATTTTGTTGATGATTTTTGCATCTCTATTCATCAGGGATATTGGTCTATAGTTGTCTTTCTCTGTTGTAACTTTTTCTGGCTTAGGAATTAAGGTGATGCAGGCTTTATAGAAAGAATTTAGGAGGATCCCCTCCCTTTCAATTCTTTTGAGAGCTTGAGAAGAATTGGAGTCAGTTCTTATTTAAATATCTGGTAGACTTCAGCCCAACCTGTCCTGTGCTTTTCTTTGTTGGAGGGTCTTTGTTACTGATTCAATTTGTCTTGTTTATGGGTCTGTTTAGGTTTTCTATGTATTCATGTCTCAATTTACGTAGGTTGAATGTGTCCAAGAATCTATCCATTTCTTCTAGGTTTCCCAGTTTGTTGGCATACATCTCTTTGTAGTAATGTCTGATTATTCCTTTTATTTCTGTTGTGTGTTGTTATATTTCCTTTTTCATCTAAATTTTATTGATTTAGATCTTCTCCCTCTTTTTGTGATTAGTTGCTCTAATGGGGTATTGATTTTGTTTATTTTTCAAAAAAATCAGCTTTTATTTCACTGATGTTCAACAACTAAGTATTACTGATATGCATTATGAAATCTTAACTGGTGACTATTTACAGAACAGAAAATTATTGAGAAAGTATTCACAGAAAAGCATTACAGAGATGAAAGAGGGAGGAGGCTATTACAATGGGTCCTACACCCACATCCACAAAGGCTACCTTTGCAGTTCAAGAAAGAGTGGATGGAAATATTTAGGTGAAAAATTGCATCTATTCTGAATACATACCAACTGTGTTTCCTTGTCATTATTCCCTAAACAGCTATGTATGCTGCATTCATAGGTATTATAAGTAATCTAGGGATGGTTTAGTTATGGATTGCTTTAGCTTGTGACCGGAAGAATTGCATATATGGTATGAAAATAGTATGCCATTATTTTATGAGGGGTTTAAGCATCCATGGATTTTGTTATCTGTAGGGTGTCCTGGAACCAATATCCCATGGATACCAACGAAAAAACAAATAAATAAACAATAAATTCATAACTTACTCTGGAAAATTGATATAGCATTACAAAATATTTGTTCTCAATTTCCATTCTTATCTCTCTATGGATGTCAGGGTCTGTGGCCCACCCTAGGGACATCAGCCTTTGCCTGAGAGTTTGGAGAGAAGTAGAAAGATGTGTCTTGATGGGGTTAGTAAGAGCCTTACCTAAAGATACCAAAGTGCCTGCCCCTTTGGAGAACTTAAGGAAATTCAGAGTCCTCTACAGGCTTTAACTGATGTTACAATTTAAGGACTGGCAGTGAGGTAGGGCTATCTGGGCTGGTTGTTCCCCAAACTTCTGAAGTAGAGATAGGCAGGAAAGCACGCAGGGCCTGAAATACCCCATAAAT